TGGCATTATGTCAACGTCTCCCCTCTCCCCGTTCCCCTGCTCTCTCCTCCTCTCCTTTCCCTCCTTTATCCTATCCTTCCTTCTCTCCTTCCTTCTCCTCTCCCCTCATTTATTCTATCCTCTATCATTCTCCCCTTCCCTCCATTCCCTTCCCCTACCCTCTTCTCACTCCACAAACTTCCCATTCCTTCCCTTCTCTTCTCCTCCCCATTCCTCCCCTTACCGTCCCTCTCTGCCCCTTCCTTCTCCTCTCCCCTCACCTCCTTTAGTCCTCCCTTCCCTCCCTTCCCTCCCCTTCTCCCTCCTTCCCGTGTTCCTTTCACCTCCCCCCTTCCCCTTTTCGCTCTCCCCCTAGTCTCCCTATTCTCAATTTTCTCCTTCCTAGAATTTTCACTTTTCTTCCCTCCTTTCCCTGTCCTCCACAGTCTCCACCCCTTTTGGACTCTCTTATATAGATGTATATATACATACATATATATATATATATATATATATATAGAAAAAATTAACATATATATATACTATATATATATATATATATTATATGTGTGTGTGTGTGTGTGTGTGTGTGTGTGTGTTTATGCATGTATGTATGATGAGAGAGACAGAGACAGAAATGGTGACGCGAGACAAGGAGAGAAAGAAAAAGATGGATGGCAGTTAAATAAAGTAAAGAAGAGATAGATGGATCACTCAATAGATCGATAGATAGATAGATAGAGGAAGAAAGAGAAAGAAAGAGAAATAGGAAGAAAGAAACAAAGATAGAGATAGGAGAGAGAGAGAAGAGAAAGAAAAAAAATAAAGATGGTGAGATAGAGAAAAACGAAAGAAGTAAATAAAAAAACAAGGAATAAAGGAGGAAGAAAAAAACAAAACAAAGAAAGCGGGACATAGAGAGAAACACAATAAAAAAGAAAGAAAGACAGTAACAAGCCCTCAGTATAATTCATAAGGATAAAACACTATAAATAGAGTAAGGATTTTGGTCCTTAGGGGGAAGGTCACACTCTCGGAAACACTTTAGTCGCGCCCTTTGTAGACATATGCCTTGTTACCTGGCATTATGTCAACGTCTCCCCTCTCCCCCGTTCCCCTTCTCTCTCCTCCTCTCCTTTCCCCTCCTTTATTCTATCCTTCCTTCTCTCCTTCCTTCTCCTCTCCCCTCCTTTATTCTATCCTCTATCATCTCCCCTTCCCTCCATTCCCTTCCCCTCCCCTCTTCTCCCCTCACAACCCTTCCCATTCCCTTCCCTTCTCTTCTCCTCCCCTTCCTCCCCTTACCTTCCCTCTCTTCCCCTTCCTTCTCCTCTCCCCTCACCTCCTTTAGTCCTCCCTTCCCTCCCTTCCCTCCCCTCTCCCTCCTTCCCGTGTTCCTTTCACCTCCCCCCCTTCCCCTTTTCGCTCTCCCCCTAGTCTCCCTCTTCCTCATTTTCTCCTTCCTAGAATTTTCACTTTTCTTCCCTCTTTCCCCCTGTCCTCACAGTCTCCCACCCCTTCTTGGACTCTCTTTATATATATGTATATATACATACATATATATATATATATATATATATATATATATATATATATATATATATATATATATATATATATATGTATATGTACATGTATATATGTATATTTTTCTTTCTGTTTCACTGTCTGTCTGTTAGTTTGTTTGTCTTTCTGTTTGTCTGCATGTCTGTCTCTCTGTCTCTCTCTCTCTCTCTCTCTCTTTCCCCTCCTCCCTAACTTCCTTCCTTCCCGCCTCCCTCCCTTCCTCCCTCCCCCCCTCTCTCTTTCCTCCCTTCCTTCCTTCCTTCCTCCCCCCCCCCCTCTCTTCCTACCTTTATTTCTCCCCCTCTCCTCCCCCCCCTCGGAAGTGTCAACACCTTTTATATTATGCAAGAGTGAGAAGAGCACATGGCAGGGGCTTGAGGGGAGAAAAGAAGGGGAAAAAGGCGAGGGGAGATGAGGGAGGGGGGAGGGGAGTAGGTAGGTAAAGAGGGGAGAGGGACGGGGGGGGGGGAGGGAGTAGATAGGTAAAGAGGGGAGAGGGACGGGGGGAGGGAGTAGGTAGGTAAAGAGGGGAGTGAGTCAGGTGGGGGGGGGTAGGGAGTAGATAGGGAAAGAGGGGAGAGGGTCAGGGGGAGGAGGGAGGGAGTAGGTAGTTAAAGAAGGGAGAGGGACGGGGGGGGGAGATAGGTAAAGAGGGGAAAGGAACGGGGGGGGGGAGGGAGTAGATAGGTAAAGAAGCGAAAGAAACGGGCGGGGGGGAGGGATTAGATAGTTAAAGAGGGGAAAGGACGCGGGGGGGGGGGAAGGAGTAGATAGGTAAAGAGGGGAGAAGGACAGGGGGGGAGTAGATAGGTAAAGAGGGGAAAGGAACGGGGGGGGGGAGGGGAGTAGATAGGTAAAGAGGGGAAAGGAACGGGGGGGGAAGGGAGTAGATAGGTAAAGAGAGGAGAGGGACGGAGGGGTGGGGAGGGAGTAGACAGGTAAAGAGGGGAAAGGA